TAACCATTTGTACTAAGCAAAGAGAACCAACTACCAATGTACTTCATGGAATGATTAAAACATGCATTGTACTGTAAGAACAAAAAGATCCAGAGATGTAAAAAACATGTCACTCCTCAATTTTACCATATTTCATCCTCAATTTCAGGGTGATTTAAATACATGCTAAATATTGTAAATTGCTACTGTTCTTTTAAAATCCTACTGGGAATCCCAACTTTATAATGCTAGGTCTTTTTTAATGGTTCATTAATGCTGAAATCGACAACAAGCTGTCAATAATTTAAGGGATAATGTTAATTACAATGTCTGGTCAGAGTAGGTAGAAAATGTTTTTACTGTTCTTTGGACCAGATGATTTGAATGATGGGTGGAGAGAATCTCTTAGGTTTGTACAAATCCAAACACATTTAACTGAGCACATTGTTACAGGCAGCAAACTAACATTTAATTTCCGTTTCTCCCTTTCATTTTACAATTTTTCAGGACATAGTAATGCAAGAACAGCAGTTCAGGCAGAGACTGTGTGGTGCTGCACAGATGGAAGAGAGCACCCACGTGTTGTAACTTGCAGGTTGTGTTTGAAGAGAAGTGCAGAGAATCCTGCCAGTTCTCTCATCTGTGCTAAGGTGAAATCAACAGCAGGTTAGTAATGGAGTATTTGTTAGGGATCCCCGATAAACGAGCAGTTATCTTATTCTGCAAATAACCACTATAAACTAATGACACCCTAAATAGCTAAAGGCCTTAATTGATATCAAGCACTGGGGTTCCTAAATTAGCAGTCTAACTCCCTAGTGTTAATGGAGAAACAGTCATCTAGAAGATGACTCATATTAGTGGAGGTACCTGTATCTTTCTACGAGTTGTAAAGGTGTTGAGACTAGATCCTGCTCATGATCAATACTAGTTGTGGGATGATAATACAACTTCTACTGTCACTCTACTATCCTGTCTGTATTGACATCTCTTATGAATTTACTAGGAAACAGAACCCAACAAAATAATCCAGTGGTTCACTAAATGAACTTTGTCTTTGGTATCATTATGCAATGCAGAGTTTAAGCAGTTCACAATTTAATAAATATACTGCATTTCAGTCTCCCCACATAAATTCCAGAGGGAACCAGTATGATTTCTCCATAAAATTTGTACCGAATGTATTTTTCCCACAGAAATAGTACTTTTGCCCACATAAATAAATTTGATAAATTATTCTGTAGATCAAAAATAGCATGTATTTACCTATAGTAAAGGCTATGAGTTTTTAAATGATCCCATATAATAAGCACTCATTTTACACAGAAAAAAACCCAACCTAACCAAAACCCAGACAAGTCCCCTCTCCCTTAATTGTTGATAGAGCTCAGGCAGCAGGTAAGAGGGGGACTGTACATTCCCAGAGAAAGTGTCACAGGAAATTAATTATATATATTTTTTTTTTCAGAACTGCTTCCTCCTTTGTGTTTATGACTATGTGTTCATTTAGATTTTGTTGTTTTGTATCTGAAGAAAAGATTAGGACTTCCAACTTATTCACTGCACTAATTTAAGAACTGAATTTAATTTTCTCTCAATCTGATATCACCATGCAGGCACAAAGTGCCATAAAGAAACACTTTGTAAAATCAATCTGTATCTGCTAGTTAATTATGAATAGTCTGATTTAATCCCAGATCTGTGTCTGAATTAAAAAAGTGGTAAGAGAAATGTAAAAAAATACCCAGCTGAATGGAAGTGGCACTTTTTATAGACCTTTCTCAAGAAATGGAAAGTTGACCAGAGCCTGCAGTGCCCAAGTCAGTTTTTAATTATGTTGCTATAAATTAAAACAAATTGTGCTTGTTGGAGTAGAATCATCTTCAATTTGTGTTGTAAATGAAATGAACCCCATCCCACTATGGCACAACAAAGTAGAAAAAAAAATGCATACAGATATTTCTGTAGTTTTTCTAGTCTAGTCATTGGGAGAGCTATTACTCTGGCCCATGCTTGGAAAACCTGCAATAACTATTGAAGTTGTTGTCTCATTGCAACCTCTTTGCTAACTGTTTTGTTCTGTTTAAAATTCCTAATTTGGCTTGATTTCTTTCTTTAGTAACAATATCAGGCAGGCAGTTCTTAACAGCTTCAAAATGCTGAGCTGCTACAATCTGCAGCAATGGTACATGATGAGGTTTCCTTCACTGTCAGAGTTTTTAGAACACCCATGTCTAAGGACACTGGGGGTTGCTACAGGAAAAATGCCATGCCTTTCTGCTCCAACTCTGTTTCTTCATCAAAGGGATGATAAAAAGTAGAAAAATAAACCCAGAAAACTAAATTTAGTCACGTAAGATGGAAGCTACCCAAACTCTCTAGAGATCTAGGCCAGTGTGTGCTTGTGAAAAACAGCGCCATGACAGCATCAGACCCAGCCCAGAGTCAGTATTCCAAGCGCTGGGCTCTTTACGGTCAAGTGCTGAGAACGACCTTTGTTCCGCAGGTCTCTGAAGCTAAATAACAGAGTGAGGCAAGCAGGTGAATGAAACAGAGCCAGTAAGATGGCAGTAAGGGTGTGATAAAAGTACAGCACAACACATGCTACAGCTTGCTCTTTATCTCATCTTCCGCATGGAGAGAAGTGATCTCCAGCCTTCACAGTACGCAGTGTTTTGTATCCCTTCTGTCCCCATGGGATTCTGTGGTTTCAGTTCACTAAATCTTTAAAATTCTTCCCTTAAAAAAAGATAATCAAGGACTTGCAGTTTTTTCAAAAATCTTCTCTGAACTCTTATGACAAATGTAAGAATTAGAGTTCACTTAGCTATGTTTAGGTATAGAGGAGAAATCTATCTCTTCAAGATTATTTTCTAAGCAAATATATTACAGAAAATAAAATTTGGAATAGCAAAGGCATGGTCTTAAAATTGTTTTCCACTGAAGTCTAACATCAAAACACAGGTAAATAAATTAGAATTAAAGCTGTCAAAGGAGAATGGCAGGTCCCTTGATGTCTGAGTGACAAGCATTTCCACTACTCTTCCAGTTAAAATAAACAAGAAGAGAATCAGTACAAGAAGAATAAACAAGAAGACAATCAGTAGTATATCACTAGTAAGCAAAAGCAAAGTTTTTTTACTTTCAGAACAATCCTTGAGAACTGGTAATAAAGACATGTAACAGCAAAATGCCTGCAATTTAGTAAAATTTACACTAACAATTAGCATAATAACTGACAAAATGAGTTAAGTAAGATTAGGCATGTTTACTTGAAAACATCCAGCCTGACAGATAGATACTAAACGAGTCTGTCTTTTGCCCTGTACGCTCTGGTACTTCTACAGATCTAAAATGAAACTGGAACTCAATTTATCTAATGTAGGCAGGATATCTATTTTTCATTCTGCAGAACGTTGTCTTAAAATAATGTTGGTTTGCTTCTTAAACAAAAATGAAGAATTTTATAGGGGCTAATTAAACCTGAGATATTAATCCTAATATCTCTGCAGTCTTACAACTATGGTTTCTCACAAAGATGGAGTCTCAAGACAGCTGGTAAAGAATTAAATATATTTTGGAATAATAGAAATATTTCTCTTTTAGAGAAGTATCCTTGATCATAGCAAATCCTACTACTTTTGGCCATTTTTGTACTTCACTGAAGTCTCCCTTGCACATAATGCTTCTCATATACAAAATAAACCCACATTCTTCCTGAATCATCTTGTCTTTTGTTTTGATGCTTTAATAGATGCTGCTAAATATGCAGTATATACCACTGAATAGCCAATCTCATTCAAGAGATTCTCTCTCTACACCTACCCAGAAAGTTACAGAACAGCCTCACTCTTCACAGATAAAGAGGATATCCTACTCTCTAAGCAGCTGGGAAAAGGCATTTATCAGAAGTCATGTATTTTTTTGTCTATGCACTGAAAACTAATACAGTCAGTATACCATGCACTAATCTTTAATTTTTCAAGTTAACTATGTTAATCCTAAAACATGGTACAAATCTTTCTAAGTACACAAGAAAGAGGAGAAAAAATGCACTACTCTGAATTGTATATTTAACATAAAATCAGTGACAGCAAAATCTATTGTGTATGATTTGTTGGAAGGGGAAAAAGCATACTTGTCAGGACTTTATATATATACCCTACTCCCAATGTCTTCCAGCTATTGGAACCCTACACAATATTTGGCACGACTTCATAAATTCATACTGCTTCAGCTATAAAAGCTGTGAAGGATAGCTGAAGACTGTTGAGCTTGATGTAAACCAATAGGTTAATCTACAGAAAAAGACCTCTCTGACATTAAAATAAATATGTAAAGTTTTATAAACCACTCCTGTAAAAGTGGTTCAGTCTCCCCTTTAGGCCTAATAGGAAAAGCCAGTGAAGATCTGTCTTTTATTTGCCAGCTTTACTGACACTTGAAGAATCCTAAAAGCAATGCTTATTCTGGCAACAGTAAAGAGAAGGCAGGGAGTAGGCAAAACTCAAAGACTTGCAGCCTCTTCAGGTTGTCACTGACCTCCAGTCCTTTCACACTCTAATACCTGGCATCCTAACTTGTTCTGGGTTTATGACACAAAACAGCAAAATGCAGATAAGAGCAGATAGTTCTTCACTGCTGCTGTGCTTTTGTAAGTCAGTCCTTCTAGGCCAGCAAGTAGTGTGTGTGTGAGAAGCATTCATTAATGGTGGCCTCCTTAAACAAGTAGTCCATACTTCTGTTGTGACAGTAGTACAGTCATTCCTTGTGATTTCTGAGCCCATCTTGCTATGGGGAGTGATCACGGAAGATCCTTCTTTCCTCTCCAATAATATTGACTAATCACTGTTAATCTATAGTGCTGTGTAAGGAAACATTTGGACACAGTATAGCAAGTGTACAGCAAGGAACAAAAAATATTTTAGAAAGAAGAAAATACATTTGTTACTGAATCATGCATGTGAGGATATCTAACATAATACTTTTGTTGTAAAGTAAAACTTTATTTTTATACCCACAACAAAACATGGACCTGCAGAACTTTTCAAGCAATCTTCTAACAGCTTCATACGAGTCTTTTGCAGCTCAGGACTGTCCCATTCATCTGCTTCAACTCCCCAGTATAAGTCTATGACCTGGAAAATAGCATGCAACATTGTTACTTTATAATACGCTCTTTCTAGGTATCAGATTAAAAATTAGCTTTGTCAACATTTCGTGTATTGCTAAGCATGCTCTGCAGTGCAGTAAAAGGCAATGAGGTCTATATCCAGTCCTTGTATAGACTGGCAGGGTTTCCTTAGGTAAATGACAACTCAAGCCTCTTATTTTCCCTCCCAGATAGTCCCTCCTGGGACAGTCTCTCATTTCACATTCGGATTTTTTTTTTTTTTTCAGAGATTAGCATAACAAGATCTTGATTTGATGCAATCTTTATGTGCTACTGGATTGCATATAATGGATAGGCAAGAATAATGGCAAAAAGCAGTGATTAAATCCTGGATCCGTGGAAATTAATGGGAGTGTTGCTGTGGATCACAGTCAAGACCATGACTTGACACCCTCTGTCACTTGTATCCACAGGATATAAACTCATCTTGTGGACATGGCTCAAAAGAAAGAATGTATGCAGTTCTGTAATATTGTACTTCCTTTGTTAGCTGGTCTTTGTTACTTTGGAAGCAGAGATTGTATAGATAGGCAGTGGCAGACAGCTTGCTGTTCAGCCTTTTATCTGTAGCTACAGACTCAGTTTTGTGATGGTAATTAGTTGCAAACAAACTCTTGTAAGAAACTGGAATATGGATGTTAAACTTATTTGAAGAAATTAAGTGATGAAGTGTGATTTCACTACACATTTTAACTAAAAGGCTGATTTCTTACTGTGGGAAACTGAATTTAAAAGAATAGGGACCATATATATGCATTTCTTTTGGAATAAAACATATGGTACACACTACTACTCTCTCATTTAAGCTACTATGGATTGTTTACATCATGTATGTAACTTGAACAAAAAAGAAGTCCAAATAGTTAAAAAAAATCAAAATTGTGTTAAGATATTAATATATTACAATATTGTTTATTGTGAAATTATTTGTACTGCAGAAGGACTCTGCTGTTACCTTAAGAAACAGAATCGCAAAACTAGCTCTTGTCTAAAGAGATCGTAAAACCAGCCTGAAGGCCTAATCTAAGAACTAATAACAGGTTGATGTAAAAGTAAAATTCACCAGTTTCCAGCTAGTTAATGTTGGGAAATTTCTTAGAACAAAAAATGCCAAGGTTTAAGACTTAATACTAGAAGTATTTATGCCCATGTTTAATTTCACTGTCAACAGTCCCCTTGTTTTCTTTTACCAGAACAGTTTGGGACACATGTCAGTGTTTACTGGAGTAGGCACACTGTTGCCAAATACGAAAGGTAATGTACTGTCTGACTGATGATGACTGAAATAGCCCAATGTATAGAATGCATTGTAGCTTACACTGCCAAGAAAATACACTTAATATCGTTATTTTTTACAGAAACTGTTCCAAAGTGGAGCAAGCAGCTTCTGCTTCACAAAACTGCACCTTAAACAGCCTCCTTATTTCCCTCACTTGCATTGATTTCTTCTCTGTCCTTTTGTCTTTTAGTTTCATGTGGTGGGTTAACGTTGGCTGGATGCCAGGTACCCACCAGGCCCCTCTGTCACTCCCCCTTCAGCAAAATAAAGGGGAGAATAAGATGAAGAACTCATGGGTCAAGACAAAAGCAGTTTAATTAAAGCAAAGGCCAAGACCGTGCACAGAAACAAAGGGTAAACAAAGATGTTATTCTCTATTTCCTATCAGCAAGTGATGTCCAGCCACTTCCCTGGAAAGCAGAGCTTCAGTGTGTGCAGCAGCTGCTCCTGGAGACAAACACAGTAACCAATGCCCCCTCCTCCTCCCTGCCCTTGGCTGTTATGGCTGAGCTGAGGTCACATGGTATGGAACAGCCAATCCGGGTCAGCTGTCCTGGCTCCGCCCCCTCCCAAGGTGTGTGACACACCCCCTGCTGGCTGCCAGGGGGACACTCAGCACTGGGAGGGTGCTGTGGGGATGCTGACTCCAGCTCAGACAGACCCAATACATCTCATTAGGAAAAAAGTGTTCCCTTCTTTTCTCACTTCTCTTATTTATCTATACAACTTCATTATTGAAGCTGTATTCAGCTGGCTGATTATTTGAATGATGTATGACAGAGTTTAAGTATTCTAGTCATAAAATTAGAGCAACATAGCATACAGTAAAAAATATTTGAATTACTGGTTGAATTAATTTATTGTGCTACTCAAGTTCATCTGAAACATAAAAGCAATTTCTATTTTGATTAACTGTTCAGAAATCATGTTAACTCTGTAAATGTCAAGAGGAAATTCTCTGGAATAGCAGACATTGTAGGGGTTCAGGGGCTGTGTTCTGTGTGTTATAATGTTACAGATTATTTTTATGGGGTAACATAATTTTGGCACATAGTATCTTAATGTGTTTTAATTTTGTCCTGCAAGGGGATATATTTTAGCCATCAAACCTCTGAAGACACCAAGAATTTAAAAGTGAGGGGCTTATCGGTTATTCGTTGTGCTAACTAAAATAACAGGATTTACTTAAAGAAACGGAACAAGAAGACAACTGTCGGTTTTCACTTATACTTGGAAAAACTGTGTGACAAAAACCCAGTCTAAATTTCAGTGGGGCTTCCAAGATGACAACGAGTGTTTTGTGTGAGAGATACTTACAGTGGACTGACACTGGTTAAGTTCATTTCCACACCAGTCACTTAACGGAGACTTTTTGTTCATAATTCAGTATTTCCTTTGCTTATTTTAGCTTTTGTCCTACCAATCTTACAGTTCTACAGATTTTTCTAAGGAAATGAAATAATTTTATCTTTATTGCTTCCAAGTGCTTAAAAAAACACTAAAAAATTTCATTCATGCAAAATTCCATTTTCCTTCTAGCATATATCACACGGCGAAAATGATTTGACACAGTTAATTGTTCTCAAAAAGAAAAGAGTATGCTGCTAATTAACTATGGCTAGTTAGCTTCCAAAAAATTTCTATTACAACTACTTTCTTCAACCTCTCTGTCCTCCCCTAAAAAAAATAATGTATTTTCGGTACAAAACACCATGCACTCTGGAAGTCTTTTTCTCAGCTTACTTGCTTTCTGTCTTCACCAATACCTGTTTTTCAGAAATATTTTCTGATTCAATAGAAAAGGAAGCCCATCAAGCAAACAAATACATAGGGTAATTGAATATATTCAGTTCTGCTTCCACACACGTGGTGGTTACATTCCCTAACACCAACTTGAGGATGCCTGACAGATCTCATGCTTTGCAACAACCGAAACACTTATCAGTGCAGCCAGATGACTCAATGGAAGCTGGAGCAATTAATGTACTCAAGTACATTTTGTTTGGGTCATCATTTATCAGTAAGAGGGTATATTCAGGACACCCCATATTATGGAGCATTTGTGGTAGTCATACACAAGGTAGTTTGTGTTTGGTCAGTAGAAAATTACATATGCAGCTGAAAAGTTAGGTGTTCTGCTCTGTACAGGGAAATATAAATTTATCCCTGTTTCCGAAAAGTACATAATATTTTGTTGACACCACTGCACTAAAAACTGTAGTCTTGATTTAGCATGCTAACCTAAGAAACTCAATGTATCAGTAATGGAAAATGCAAAAAAATGTTTTGATAAAGTCTACCTCAGAGCTTCCTCCAAAATACTTTACTACTTTCCCTTGGTAATTTTTTGTACAAGTTTTCCTACTTTGCTTCCACAGTAATGTGATAGCTTTCTAGCTGTTTTCAGAAATGTGTTAGTGGAGCTATCTCTCAGACCTCCTATCACATAACGATGCTTCTGGTGTTGAAACTATATCATAAAATAATTTGCTTCCATGAATATCAACTACAGCAAACTTTATTCCTTCCCCCCACCCCCAAGAGATAATCGTCGTGGATGCCCCATCCCTGGAGGTATTCAAGGTCAGGCTGGATGTGGCTCTGAGCAGCCTGGTTTAGTGATTGGCGGCCCTGCAATGGCGGGGGGGTTGAAACTAGATGATCACTATGGTCCTTTTCAACCCAGGCCATTCTATGATTCTATGATAATCTATTTGAAGACAAACAGGTTTCCTCTCACAAAGAATTCAGTGGATTATGACCTGTTTGGAGGAAACATTTCCCTCCTGTTACTGAGATATCTCCTTAAAGATGACTGAGAAATAGAGTTCATATTTTCCATTAATATCACATGGTAGTAACAGGAGAAAAATGCTTTATTATTTAAATATCTTTTGCTATTCTTTGCATGTACCACTGCATCTGGGACTTCCCAATCAGCTGATGAGCTAGGACCTTCAGATTAAATTCTTTCATAGCCATAATCAAAAATCACTCTGGAACTTACCATCATGCAGATTCAGCAACTCCACTGTGACTCAGGGAATTAAAATCAAACATGCTAATTTAAGAACTTGTTATTTTGATTAAAAAACAGCTGCATGTGTGTCAAGAATAATACAGTAGGAGAAACAGGATGTTGTCTAAAAGGCATTAGCTGTTTCCAAGTAAGCTACTCTCTGGAGAGCTGAGTTTTTGGAGACACCAAGATGGGAGGTTAATATTAATGTGTGAAGAAGGCTTGAGGATGTAGGACCAGAATTTCTGAAAAACTGAACAACATTTTTACAACATTGCATGCTGTATTTGTTTCTCTTAGCAGAGAGCCAGTCTGGGGCCTGGTGACATATGCGGCACTTTACTGCATGACCTTAATGGACTGTGAATTAGGATATACCTGACTTAAAAGTACCAGTGACCTTAACTGTGATGCCAAAACTCATGCATTTTAAGTCAAATGCAACTGAATTTATTACCAATTGGCTCTTACCAAAGATGTGTATGGGTCTGTGTCTTCCATAACACAAAGTAAAGCCTGAACTGACTGAAGCAATGGGAATTTTACAAGTGACATTAAAGGTAGCAAATTCCATAGTATGTAATCACAATAGGAATGTTCCATACCAAATTAATTTTGATAATCAGTTTCAAATTCACCTGGTTAAATTATTTTCCACATTACAATGGAAGACAAACCCATAGTTAGAGCAGATATAAGAATTATGTGAATATACAGATAGTGCTACTTCAATGATGATCATATGAAATTAAAAATAAGTTGCATTAAGTATGGTTTCTAGAAGTAGAAGATGGTAATTCAGATGTAACAGTATTTCTTCTCAAATACTTTGAATATCTAAAGTAGAGATGGTTTCATTAAGTTTCTAATGTGAAAGTTGTCAGTTTGTTGCAATATTGCTTTTACCACCAGTGCAACGTTGCATTCTAAAACCCTGTGTTTTCTTATCTATTCAGAATTTACCTCAAATCTGCCTGTAAAATAATTTTAGTACATCAATTCAGTACAATTAACATGTGAAATAATTTTTGTCAATTTTCTAATTTACCAATGATATGACAACAATTACAATATTTTAAAATGGTATCTGTTTCAAACAGAGTTAATTTCAAGAAAAAGTAATGTAAGGTTCAACATAAAACTTACCTGGAATTCCAGCCCATAGTTTTCCCTGCAGAATTCTCTCAGCTTAGGATACACATGTTCTCTTAGGGCACTCCTTTCTGCTATTGTATCTGTGTTAGGGAAAAAGGTGTTAGTAACAATATTTATATGAACTCTGTTCTTTTAGTCAGAAATATAGATTTATCACATAAAAAGAGACCTGAAAACACAAACACATGCACATAGAAACCGAATCAAAATCAGGTCCTAGGATTTAACCTCCAAACTGAATGTTGCACTTTGTGATGTTTTACGTAAATGTGTTTGTATGTGCAACATTAAGCTTCATACACATCTTAATATTGCAGCATATTTCAATAAAGCACAGCTGAATTAATTTTTTAATTCAGCAGTCAGAATTTCATTATTAGTGTGACGTTTATTTAGTTTTCAGGAAGATGAATTTTACTAATTAGAAACACCACGAAACAAAGACATATACCAAAGACGAAACAGATCTCTATACTTAGAAATAAATCAATTAACATGAATTAATGACATTGTGTCAAACATTGTCACTTTCTTGACCATCTTTAATCTGATAGTATATTAAAAGGAAGAAAGCTGTTAATAACATTATTTATGGCATCTTTTGATCCAGTTGATTCCTGCTATCATACTAAATCTGCAATTTTGACATCATGTTATTCTCATCTGTGAAATGACGTGTTTTATAATGAAGTACAATTTGATGATGACACCAAAATTATTATTAAGTTCTGTCTGTCCAAGTTAATCTGAACACATTTATATAAAACTTATCAGTCAAGAAACATGCTGTCAAATGTGAAGTAAATTTGGTTAGTAATGAAATCTTGTATAGATAAACAAATATTATTGTCTTTCCCAATAAGACTAAAAAATGTGATGGATTTTGCTTGGTCTAGATTGTGACCAGTATCAACTGAGTTAAGACACAGAAGGATGACATCCTTGCTAAGTTATTTTCAAAAAGAAAACACAACTGATTTAACAATCCCCATATTGTTGTAAAGCAGAGGCATGTGTGCAAATCTAACAATGTTTTGTTCATGAGAGCCACAACTAATACATCTAAGTCAGACGTCTGCTCATAGAATCATGGTCACAGATCTATAATATTTTTTTATTTTGACAATTCTAGGAGAGTGTGAAATCTGTAACTTAATTAATTAACACCCAATTCTAATATCCTTCTTAATATTTAAATATACCTTTGAAATATTACACAAATGTGTGGTATAATTACCATTTATTTTCATAAACAGAACGCAACCCAGAACACCTCCAGAGAATTATTTCTTATGAAATCTTCATCAAGGTAAAAAGGCTATACCACAGAGGCTCAAAAGTGAGCAATGAGCTTAATCCAATTGATCTGAATTACCACAGTTCTTCCTTCACAAACTTCTGATGGGGAAAAAAGTCAAAGGCATAGTAGTTTTCATAAAACATTCTACGTGCAACAATATTATATATTTATAATTTCAAGTTTTAAAATATACTAACTATGCTAACATGTTCTGAAGACAATGGTACAGAAGGACTAAAGTCCTTGCTCCATCACAAGCTTTCTATTTGACTGTGGGCACGCCACTCAAGGCAAGATCCTAAATCTGAAGTACAGAGCTTTTATATATCCATTTTGAACACTGCAAATAAGACACTCTGCTTTGGGTTAAATTCGGAGGTCTGTGGCCTCTCTCCCTCTCTCTACACTTCCCTCTTTGGAAGTCATTACCCTCCTCTCCTTGTCACTGAAGAGACTGCACCAGGAGTGCTGTGCCCAGCTCTGGGCAACCCAAATCAGGAGGATGGGGAGGAAACTGTGGAGGTTACTGAGATGGTCAGGGGCCAAGAGTACATGGCCTATAAGGGGAGATTGAGGGATCTGGGCTTGTTTGGTCTGGCGAAGAGTGTAACTGCAGCCTACAACTACTTTGAAGGCACTTACAAAGATGATGGAGCCAAGCTCTTTGTGGCAGTGTCAGACAGTACAACAAAGGTAATGACAACATATTACAGCTTGGGAAGTTTAAGCTGGACACTAGGAGGTCCTCTGTCCTTGGAGCTCTTCAAGATTTGACAAGTTCATGGTTGAGCAAGTTACTGTTACTTACAAAAGGGAGACTAGCCCTGATGATTTGCCTGAGTCCCCCTTGCAACCAGCAGTGATCCTGACTCTCAGAAGAACCTGAAGGTTTGGCTTAGTCATCCAGGCCCCTTGTACAGTGCCTGACAAGACTTTTGTTGCTGTGTGGGCCAGTAGGAGCAAATCTGTAGCATAAAATAGCTGGTGCTAAGGGCACAATGTCCATGCCATATGTATTTCAGGGGATTTCACTCTGGATTGGTCTTTACCCCCAAAAACAATTGGAATGCATTACATGAGATCCTGGAGTTATCTTCCTGTTTTTCATCCAAAAGGAACCCAGTTCAGGCACACCAAGACCCATCTATGATGTGAGTCAAAGTAGATTAGATGGTGATAATCAGGAGATTCACCTCAGAAATGTAATCCTGATCTGGATGAATACAGATGCATCCTACAAATATTTAGGAATGGAGAACAAAAACCAGTGCTTCCAGCCCAGACCTGCCTGAGTACATAAGGAACAGAGGGATGGATGAGTTGCTCCCTCCTTAGGATCCACAGTCATTAATTTTCTCTTATACTTTAGTGCCTAATTCAACCTTTTTTTGCAGAATGTAGTACACAGCTAACAAGGCTAATTAGCTGGAGGGCTACACTGTGCTGATGCATCAGTATTATTTTGGCTCTAAGCAACTTTCCTCAGTGCTAGCTTGGAGTCACTATACCGCATAGGGTTGCTGTACCTTGTGATAAAAGCTATCTGCATACTTTGCTTCATTCAAAATACTTCACTTTTTTTTTTTTTTTTTTTAACCTTCACAGCCAGTGAGGCCCTTAGATCAGTCTTTGACACAAGACTGTATATTCTTTACCCTAACACAGCTTAGCTTTAGCATGCAAGTCTATCAAAACACAGAGCATCACATCTTCGTAATGGAGAAGAATAAACTCTTTTGAAAACCAACATACTACTCAGTTACTGAGCTAAAATAAAATGACTCTTGCCTCTCAAAACTGAAATGAATCATGACTACAGCTTTGTTGATAAGGAAGCAACAATTCACAGGTACTGCTTGCAGTTACTTAAATGATCAATAAGACAGCAGACAGAACAGTCTTATGAGGGAACTGAAACAGGCTAAGTTGCAGGGAAAAAAGAATTAAATTACTGGAAAATGCCACAAATTAAGAGTAAACACGATTAAATTATAAATGGGAAATTTATTGTCTGAAGTACAGAACAGATAAGACTTTTCTGTGGCTTCCCATGTATGCCCATAGGGCTTACCCTGCAGAACCCCACTGGCTCTAGTTCTAGAACATGGTGCTGTTCCCTGCAGCATAACTTGTTAAGAGCCTTGTTCAGAAAATGAAGCAACAAACTGGAAGAGTAGTGCTGCATTTCTATTACCTTATAAATTAAATAGAAAGAGATAAAACATTGCTTCAACTAAAACTGTGTTCTGGATAAGACATTCAGCATATCCATCCTGTATGTTTATTCCTACCTCCAAACCTAATGGAATGTGCTTATCTAATTGGAATTTGAGTCCGGTGCTTATATTAATGAATTTTAAGAATTCCTGTATTTGTAATAAGCTGTCAAAATTTAAGGAAACAGAAGTGCGAACAGTTAAGATGAACTACAGTAATTAGCATGGATGGCAGATTAATTAAATAAAATCTAACCTGATTTACAGTGACAGCAAATCTGTGAAGCTGGCAGTTCCTAACAACAAAAATGTCACACAGGCAAATTCCACCTTCCAGGCTGCTGCTGCAGATTAACTAAATAACATTCTTCTAGCAACCAAAATGAGACAGTAGCTGTGAGATGGGCTTTATACACCTCCTAATGTTAATTCTGATACTCTGAAATCCAAATGATAGTCCACAATAAACTGTGGGAATGAAACTACATCTGCAAAAACGTTAAGACAAGACTTAAAAAAGCCCCAAACCTAAATGAATCTCCAGTATTCAAATCAAACAAAAAAACAACCCTCTGTTGAACAAGTCAGTCACTTGCTGAACGCACATTTTCCCCACAAGTGCTAAGTCTTGCAGGTGGTTGCCTCCTAAGCCAGTCCACAACCACACTGTCCTGCCCACCCCTACGTTTTGAACTGGCTGAGAACACCATCGCAGCCCTCCCTCTCTCCCTGTATCCCATGTAATGCTGACGACTGAACTCAATTAGCCACATATGCATTTATGGCCTTTCTGCCAAATAATAGGCACTCGCTGATTAAACATGACTGTTTGTGTGAGGTGAGACTTCTGAAGGCTTGTAGCTCAGTCAAATCACTGCCAGTTTTCATTAGAGTACTCCAAGGTGCTGCTTCTCAGCGTGAACTATTTCTATGCCCAAGTCTGACCTTCAAACACAAGCTGTTCTGCTATTAAAGTCCCTTTTTTTTTTTTTTTTTAAATAGGGAAAGTACAATTTACATTCTCGTGTTAGTAAACAGATGATGTGTATTTACAAACAATTGCCAAACATTAATCTCTGGGATAAAATAGGTCACAGAAAATAGACTAGTTGAAGAAAATTTCAAAACGTATATACAAGCAAACAGAAAGAGTTAACACGTAAGCCTGATGGAAATTGCCCATTTTCAAGCACCAGTTATTCTTCCCTAAGAGCAAACAGTTTCTCCTCTTGCTGGTGGCCGTACTGGTCTGAGTTCAGCCCCAATGATGGGAATGGCTGTTTCACATACATGGACTGCAGTCACATGATGACAGTCAACCAAGGCTCGACGCTGCTGAACAAGAAGGTTGCTCAGCTCCATCCTGCCATCGTGTGCTGCACAGGGGGTGCCCATGTGGGGACAGTGAGCCCCACTTGACCACCATCAAAGGAGCTGCACATTCAAGTTGATAGTCTGTTAGCATAAACACAATCTGTGAGTAACCCATGCATGATACAAGCTAAAGCCCTCAAGCAGGGGAAATACCTAAGCAGGGAAGGTGTTTGCACTGTGTGACTGACAGAGGAGCGCTGCATTACCCAGCTCACAGAAGCTGTCAGGAAAACTGTTGACTGATATAACATGTTGGGCCAGGCAGCTGAACCTGGAAGAACTAAGGCAGAAAAAGAATAGCTGCCCTTGCAAGTCTTCAAGGTTGCACAGAAATGGACATCATACAGTACAGGGTCACAGAGCTGCCTGCAGGCTTCATCTCCAGCCCAACACCCAGGAAAGGGCAGTTCCTTGTATACACAGAGGAAACAACTTCTGTATCGCTCCCCTGTGCTTGGTGTTTCCCCGCTTTGCAGTGGGTCAGGACAGAAGCTTGCTGGGCATCTTGACCTCACCTCTTTCACAGCCTACTTCTCTGCTAGCTTAGTCTCCTACACAAATCCACACACGCATGTTTATTAACACATAATGTTGGAGTCTCTTGTGCAACTATGGAAGCCCTGCATGAGCAGAGATCTTCTAACCTAGTCTGGAATGCATATCCACTAAGATACCAAGCTATTTGCTTCCTCTAAGTATTCCAAATGCTTAGATTTTATGGATGGGTAGGACACATTCTTGCCATAGCGGTATTTTTAATGCATCACAATATTAAAAAATGTGGGTATTTTATCACCATTGTCTATTAACTGCAGTGAGAATTTCAGGACATGAATTATCTAAGGATATGATGCAAATAAGGTTAAAAATTACTTAGCAGCAACACCAAGTAAGGAAGTAGCTGCCAAGCCTCTTAATGCTAGTATGTTCTTGTCACATAAGACTATTCAACTGAATTATTCCTCTTAAACTGCCTTTTTTTCCTAATAGTGCACAATAGCATTGTGTATTATCCTTGCTACTAAAAACTTTGAATACCAGTAGGTAACAAATGTCCCTAAATATTATGGAAACCTTGTCTCTGAAAATAATACCATAATAATAAATCATTTGCATTTCTATAGTGCCTTTCATCTGAGAGTCTCAGAGCACTTTGCAAACAATGAGTTTGAATCACACAGCTGGTAAGAGAGAGAAAAAACGACTTGAGCTACCTAGTACCCTTGCCTTCCTAGAAAATTAACTCTAAAGACTCCATTGTCATTTCCTTGAGTGAAAGTGAAGTTTCTGTGAGTAGAGAACATCAGAATAAAGCATGCAAAGCTCCACAAGACTCTTTTTAGGTCGACTGGGAATGGGAACACATTGGTCTGGGTCACTTCTTTCTGTGTCTCCTCCCCAAAAACACTGCCCACCTTCAGGTCTCTGCTGGCTCTCTAAGAAGGCAAATGAAAAACTGGACAGACTGAAGGCCATTCATTAATTAAACTAAAGCCCATCACTGACTGTAACCCTCCAAACAAATTCTGACTAGCAAAATACTGCAACATTACTGCAATGTGGTACACAGCTGCTTATCCTCACCTAGTCTGATGGTGGGAGCCCTCTCACAAAATGTGCAGAAAGTGTGTGTGACTCTCTGGACTAGGGAGGATTTAGATCACAGTCCTTCTGCTCAGAGGTCAGTACTCTAGCTGCCAGGATAATGCACAGGATAATGAATAATGCCATTGGTGGCATATCCCTCTCCTCAATCTTCTCAACAGTGGGCTGAGCATTTGAGCCCAAAGGAATGGCTGCTTGGCAGGAAAATCAGAAGAAATAATGGAAAATAATATTCAAATAGCACGTAATCCTGAAATGTGTTTCTCAATTGTTAAGAAATGACAGGATGTGACTACAAATTTAAAGTCCACACCAGAACATTTAAACAAACACATTTTCAAACAATACACCTAATTATCTGAGGCAGGATTCAAAATGTAGAGCATAATTATAAGCCTAAAACTTCTAGTTGCATCTAGTTAGCTCTTCTGTTTTAGCCCAAAATAAAACAATATCCGATCTGAAATGAGGTGTGGTTTTAAAACTTATTTCTCTGAAATGTTCTGTACTGTCAATTCTGTAAGATGACAAATTTAAAATAACACATATAGAATATGTATTTATTTTTTTTTTTTTTAATTATAATGCTTAATAGCTGGCCTCATTTCACAGTGGTATCTTATAAAATAGCCTGCATCTTGACTGGTAATGTGACTAACCAGTGCCACCTATTGGCTTAACAACACCACCCATCTGTCAATTTATATACATATAATATATACATAAAAAAATGAGGCAACTAGTAAAATTAAAGGCATCAAGACCTGTGTTAAAATAATGAATTTTGGGGAAATATCAGTACAGAACTGACATGACAGAAGGGAAAAGCAGTTCCTATGTCTAAATATCAAAATACTTTTGATTATTCATACAATTGTGTTTCCAATTTAAAACAAATGTCTGTTTCTGAGAATTCTGAGTTTTATTATGTGTACAATATGCTTACATGAAAAAAATTTGGATTCTGAACCAAAGGTTGATGAAGTTAATGGAAAGATCTGTTAATCTCAGTGGATCGTAAATGAAGTTCTGCATTTGTGGCATGTACCTCTTGATGCCTTACTGACTTCCACAGAGTTTGGAGCAAATCCTTCAATCCATAAATAAATAAATAAATAAAAGCCCACTACATTAAATTGAGTGGGTATGGTACGAGTGAGGACTCTGAAGCAGAATTCTATCTCATAACATATACTAATTAACCTTACATTACCCTTTGGGGACACAGTACCCTTACATGGAGATGTTTTTAAAGAAAAAAGATAAGTTGACCTGGAATCCTTTCCCAACCCTGCAAATGGTCTCTAGATTGCAGCTTTGGTGCCTGCGTGTCCTTGCATCCCTCGGCTATGATTTCTGGCAAACACTGCAAATGTAAATGCATCTACATGCAAATGTCAATGCATGGTGGGAGCTTTAGTCGCACCATGGGTTGAAGGCAGAAATCTCTACAGGGGGAGAATTTTGCATTCTGCAAACCGCACAGGTGAAAGAATTCAACAGAATCTTTCATTTAATAAAGCAAACTAGGATAAGCTCTTGAAAACATGACAATTTACAAACAATTATTGTCATACAATTAAATGATGTGACAGGAGAAACTGAAGACACAGCACATTTAGAGACACCAAAATTAAGTCTGAAAATTATCTCAGCAGAACACCAAAGCTTATTACAACATTGGAAAACAGCAAAGCCTGCAAGGGCAAGAATTTGCAACTACAATAAAAATCAACGTGAAAGAAATACTTCTGAAATCTAAATAGCTTCTGAGCAAGCTGTGCAAAAATGCATACCAGAAGACATAAAAAGGAGCAGTGTAATAACAAAGATATGGGTAAAACCCCCACTAATTCATCTAGAGGTGTCAATTCATGCTTCAAAAAATTATGGAATTACCTAGAAAGCAGAAAAAAGCTGTACAACAATGGTAAACATTTTTAACAATTAAGCTGTGTATGCTGCAGCAACATTACCATTTTTTTTCTGACATCACTAAGCCAAAGAAAAAACAATCAGGGTACGTTACTAAAGCACTTGAGGTAATGAGGTAGTGAGAATCAATAAAGCAATGTGATGTCACAGACATTTTGTCTCCTAACTGAAGCACAGATTCAAGTACTGGAAGCAAATGAAGTAGTATGTTGTAGGCTTTGAGAAGGCATAAAGCAGATGTGAGCCATGAAAAAACAAGCAAAAGTAAGGATCATAAAAGCACGCATGTATTTCATAGCACAGGCCAGCGCAGGCCCATGAAATACACCTCGTTCTGAAGAAATTCCAATAAACACTCCTGTGTGACTTTACACCTGGCAGCGCTGCAAAGCTATGGAAGAGCTCTGCAAGCACTGTTGGTCTCCGGTAAAGTTGCCCTTCTCTTCTCTGACCTTTCTATTTAAGTTCTTCAGTAATAAACTTCTTATCCAGGTTATATTTTCCCTTAAGTTTGGTGTAACATGGCCATGGTTTGGATCACTACAAAACTGCTGAAGTCAGTCAGGCCAGCTGAAAAGCACTACTGACAAATGTAGCCTACTGTATGGGCTTCAAGTGAAAGATGTGAAGACTTTTACACTAGAAGATGAAAAAGTCTTAAGCCTGACGCTTGTGGGTATGCAGAGACACCCACAGAAGTGAGAGGTGCTGCTTGCTATCACTGCAGCAAGTCTCCCAGCAACAAACTATGAGCTTTCTTTGCAAAGGTCTTTTTTTTTTTCCCTTGGTACTAAATGGAGAGGACTTAAATAACATCACTGCACAGTCAGAATAGTTCTTGGCTGCTGTAGAAGCAGTTATCAAAGATGAAGAAACTACATGACAATCCCGGCAAAGGAGAGCAGCTGCAGAAAGGCACTAAGCCCAGAACAGCGGGACTACGTGAGGGAGGGATGCCAGAAATTCAACCACGCCCTGCCTAAATAAAAGAATATCAGCTGATTTCTTACAGGAGTATTTCACATATCAACAGACAACTTCTATAACTAGCTATAACCACCCACTTACAAGCACTGTGGTGCAACAGTTTTTAAAACAGAGAATTCCAGGTGGGGTTTGGGCTAGAAATCATTAAACATGGCCAAATAATTCACCAAACTGTCTCGTTTTATTGATTATGTAATGTCTGAGAGGAAAACAGTGACTGCCATGTAAAGGAAGAGTCATTTATCTCACCTCCATTCTCCCTTACCCTTTCCAATTCTAATGATTCACCTAAGCATTGTTTTTAGTGAAGACTATATAATTCAGTTGAAAAGGGCATTTAAAATAAAATTTCTAACGTATCTGCTTTTATGAGTAAAATATTTTTGTGATTACTTGATTTTACTACATTTTGCTTTCTTGTTCCAGATTTTATTAATTTCTTCTGCTTGCTAAGCACATTTAGTTGATGACATATATTAAGGAAATAGTAAATT